ACTCGCCAACTCTAAGTTGTTCATTGCACTGGTTCACTAACAGTTTATCGGACTGACAGTGCCTCTAGGTGCGGGCTCTAGGTGGTAAATGGCCAAACGGACTGGAGACCTCCACCTCTAGTACACGTCTGGTGCAAGTAAGATCAGACAGAAAGAGGTAGTGAAAATAAAGAAAAACAAACAGAAACAAAAACACAAGGGGTTAGATACGAAAGAATTAACGAGAAGAAACATCGCGGCTTTTCCATCTTGACTGGACTGAACTGTGGGTTGTGAGCGAAGCGCAGTGCTGACATAGGCGTAATTGACTGAAAAGATGAAATCAGGAGACATAGACTGGACTTAGATAAGCAGGGACCTCAAAAATCTTCTATACCAAGAAGTGATAATAAATTAACTTTCCTCAGCTTACTCTTGAAAGCGCAGATGTTGCGAACCTCTAGAAGTTCAGACGGAAGGAAGCTGAAGCCATCTCGCCCCACGAAAAAGCAGAGAACTAGAAATCTTAACGTATTGTTTTTTCTCCAGTCTAGGGCAATGCAGAGAGAGCGCAGCGCCCTCGGTATAGGAGGTGATTGATGGGAATTAGGTTCACGAATATTTGTGTTCAGAATGAAGAAGTTATGCGACTCTGCATACTCAAGGACTCGCTCACCATCGGCGTTCCATGACCCGTAACTGAATCCGCCATGACAAGCATAGTCGTCTTCCGCAGCGCCCAGCGCCCACGTGTGTGAGGCCAGCGGCAATAGTATTAGGTCATCCCATTCAAACTGGCCGATACACGTAGAGGAATGCAGAAAAGCAAAGGAGAGGAAAGGGCTAGTAAAAACCATTTGAAGGCTAGTACCTTCAGCTGTGTGAAATTTGGCAAACCTAGCCTCTGAAGAAGTTCTCGAGAAATTGAAGAGAAGCCCGAGTTGTGAAAATCGCGACCCGGTTTTTCAAATCAGACGTCATAAAAGGAAAGTGCGCTGCTCAAATTTGACCTGCGCCGGACCATAGTTGTGTGTAAGGGTGTTCTCGAAATACACGGTGGAAGATCTGGTTCAGGAGCCCGTACAAGGAAGAAAGGAAAAATTTGTTGTCGTGGGTGGTCCCATAATATTCATCTTGCACAAGAAAAACGGGTGGATGAAGTCAGGCACTGAATATCTGATCACAAGCCTGGACCCTTGTCGAGCTTCCCCGCGAGTCTGACATCCCAGCTGCAACTGCTGCCCGAGTTATGTCCGATAAACGGAGGATGGTCAAGAGGGTGCGCATGGGTACCCAATTTTCTTATAGAGCACGAAACGCAGTACCGATTCTATACCTCCAGCAGTAATGTTCTCAGCATGAGATGTCACTCACAACTGTGAAAACGCACCCCGGCCCTAGATGAAATATGGGTGGTCTCGGACCTCGAGTCGAAACTCACAATCGTCAATTTTCTATGAATGCAGATGAGAAGCCGCCCGAGTTCTACCATGAAGAGTTACGTGGGCGCAAGTGGATGATCATCATAGCAAAGGATTCCCACACTGTGGCTTTCAAGCGGCTCTATACAGAGGACAAATCCGTCACTGTCGGTGCATATTGCCTGTTCCTCGGCATTCAGATCGACAAATGGATGGTACCACACAACTACAAGAAGGCCACCGTTGCTCGTCATAGTGCCAGACCCCGAGTAACTGTATTGTAGATCAGTGCTGGGACACAAACAATACTGAGACCTGAGTTCAATCGTCCCATTCGCCCGTCATAAAGCCATGCGATTACAACTGTTCTATTCAGTAGAGAGTACTCTTCGACGGCAGACGCTACAATGTTTTGTCATTTGCCGAAATTGGCAACAACAGCAATTTACTCCACTTGTTGAAAAATCGAAGGTACCAGAGGTCCAAAGGCCCTCGGGGCACTGGGAGCGGGTCATTGGTGAAGGAGGGATTTACTCATCCTAAAGCTAAAATATCACTTTTCTATCTATTCTCCTCTTTGTTTTATTCAAAAAAAACCAGCGGCCAGTTTGAATGGGATGACCTAATACTATCTTCTTGTGATGCATCGCCGTCCTCACAGCAGAGCCCAGAAATTCGTCTTTGGATTGTTCGGAGCAACCAATATATGAGGCACATGCATAGTGGAAGCAGCACAGTCGTTCCTCTCGTTAGAACGATCAGCAAATCTCGTAATAGAGTCACGGAATTGCTGAGACACGATCACACACCACTTGTAGTTTCCGGCCCTACGTTTCGTGCCGACTCATACTATCGCCCAGTCAGCGCACCAGCGTTCAGCGTGGAAACGCCGTCCCACACGCTTCACGCTTCTGCTACCATGTCGGCTGATCAGTTCCAGAAATTGTCAAATGCTGTTTAAAAAAGCGCTCAGACGCCTTAGAAGAGCTACCGTTCATTTTCTCCATGACAACGCCCACCCTCACGTCGCTTCGACGACTCGTGAAGAATTGATGGAGCTCGCACTACGTTCCGTTGCACTTTCGCCCCACTTTCCAGACCTTGCGCCGTCAGATGGTCATTTCTTCAGACCGCTCAAAGCCTTCTTGTCTAAGAAAACTTTTGTTAATATGATGATGTAATTTCGGCAGTCACCGAGTTCTTCGACTCCCAGACTCCAGCATTCTGGGAGAAGGGGATCGGTGATTTGCCTATTAAATGGAGTAAAGTTATTGCTAATGACGTGACTATACTGTTATGAATTGTCATCTTTCTATATATAAAGCAGGAGTTGTTTGTGTGTCTGTGCGTCTGTCTGACCGCCTGGAGTTGGGATTTCGTGGGCTCACCTTAAGGGCACTGATTGTGCTTGGAATAGACGTGGCATGGGCCAGCATTTGCAGAGCACACACAACGTCACCTAGCTCCGCCCACAATGGGCGGGGCGTTCGCCGAAGTGGACGAAGCCGAGAATAAAAATCCTCAAAACGCATCCGGAGCAGCCCAGGAAACTAGATATGAGTGAACTCACAACTTAGCAACGGGTAGGTAGATAAATTGCGAGAAAGACACCTCCAAGACACCTTAGGCGCTATACCCACTTCACCGGTGATGCCGGGCGATCCGACTGGTGTTATATAAAAGAAAATTAAAGTTGAAAAAAATACAAAATCGGAAAATACTTTTTTGCCAACCTCATAGATTATATTCTTAGGCACTGCCCTTGATTTTAGGGAGAGATTAACTAATTCAGAAGGGATGACGGATGGAATGCCCTTCCAAAGCTTGTTCCAAGTTTTTTTCCCGGCTGTATGTATAAAAAAAATAACTTGGCAGCTGGACCAAAAATACGAAAGGATTCAACTGTATACGGCCGTGCGGTATACACTTCCAGTTGTCCAGGTGACGGAGTCTATGTAAGCGCTAATGAAGAATCCGCAGGTATCCAGAACAATTACATCGACGGAGGAGATCTGAAAAAAAATTTTTGGAAACGGGAAGGGTTTAGAAAGTGACCTCATTTACAGAGCTTTCCGCTGTCGCACGGCAACCACTATGGGAAACCTACACACAGGGTCAAGCATCATGTTTAGGAAAACTGGATCCCTTCGACACGACCCCTCCCCCTGAAGTGGGGTAAAAACGACGCTCCTCTCCTTCTACTGAGAAGAAGAGAATGAAATAATAACCCAGACTTCAAAAGGACAGAGTTGTTCAGAATTGATAAGCGATAATCGTTATTCGTAGCTTGTAAGCTTTCATCAGACAGTTATTCACACAAGGAGTTCCGCAATTCACGGTTTCGCATAAAAACTAGCGATGATCATTTCTCGAACGGAGTTTTCAATTGAACAGAGGCTAAAACTGCAGAAATGCAAGACCCAAGGCAGAACAAAAACGGGTGCTAGAGAAACAGAAAGTTTTATCCCTCCAAAAAGGCCATTATTCAGAAAAATCGCCGTTGAGAATTTTCCCTAGTCCATGGCAAGACTAACCCCTGAGCACGAGAGTTTCAACTGCTCCCAGGGATGATAATTAGGGATACAGAATCAACGGCAAAACGAAAAACAGCGCTGACAATAAAAAGATTTCTCCTCTCTAACTGCTACAAAGTCACTTATGATACAAGAAAGTGACTCTCTTTCGCGTGCGACTGTTGTTTTTGAAGGAAAGTAACTTTGTGGACATATCTTTTGAGGAATGGGTAAAAACCAACGGAAACTACACGGTTCATGCCTCTCACCAAGGAAGGTCAACAGGTCGCCATGGCCATTCAAGATGAGATGCATATCGACGTGTACGTCTCGGGACGCTGAACTCAAATCTGCTTTCAGAAATTTGCCGCAACAATCCTCTGGGAGGAGTTAGGAGGGGTCTAGCATAGTACTCGCCGATCCCCCTTGTGGTAGCTCAAGCTTCTAGCATAGTACTCGCCGATCCCCCTTGTGGTAGCTCAAGCTAAGTTCGAGAACAGGTACTGATAAGCGGCTGATGGTGTAGTGCATAGGTATGTTGTATCATAAATGTGGAGTCAGTGATTCGATTCCTTTTCAAACTTTTGCTTTTTCTAGAACATCTGCGAGTCCAAAGAGTACGTTCATTCTGTTATTTTATCAAGCCTGCATTCATTTGCAGCGGGGGAAGAGTCAAACTTCGACACTTCCCGTGTTGTGCTTTTTTCCAATTTTATCAAAGAATTCGGACTCGTCGTCAATTTTAAAAAAGCCTTAAAGGCAGTTTGCTTGATAAATCCCTGAGACGAGTAGGACTGATATTGGCAGGACGGAATTCCGCGACCCTGAGCAGGCGCTGCATAATGCCTTTTCCAAGGAAGGTGCCCTTATAAGGGCCCTATCAAGCCACAACATACCGACCCAAACGCCCGCCCGCCCACAAATGGACGACCGTTCCTGACGCTCGTATTCATTCATTTGCTAAGCAAATTATGAAGCGAAGGGTATGAAGCGGCCGTGATGCTGCATGGATATATGAGTACACACATGCAGCCGTATCTTCCGTAGCGGTTATTGGCAAGATGCCTACGGGAAACTCGTCCGAAATCGCTTTTGAGTCATTAAGAACGATGACTTCTTTTCGCAGGTTGTTGACGGTTCCACTCAGTTTTTTTTTCGCCACTTTCCCTACTAAACCGCGCCCTGCTAGCATTTCACCACCGAGCACCAAATTATCGTGCCAACTGCCTTTGACTATCAGATCGACGAAGTTCAAATCCTGTTGAATTTGGAACCCGTGTTCAATACTGCTCGCTTTCTGAATTGATGAGACACTGTGACTACGGTTGTACAGAGTTTTCTCTTTCGTTGTGCTCACCATGGCAAGCTGTTTTGCTTTGACTGTTCCGCAAGTAACACATGTACTCTTGAGTTGAATTTGACTCATCATGTACCATCAGTAAACAGGTTGTTTTTATAATACACTCCGTTGCAAAACTATACGACATACCCCGAATTTTGTATTTTTGAAGCTGGCACAGTTCACTGAAAAACGGCAAGTGCCATTCGATTGTGCTTGTAAATAAATCCTACAGAGGGGAATATTTGTTCAATTTCACTGGTTTACAGATCCAGGGTTAGAAAACCGAAAAAATAGCCGTTGCAAAACTATACGACATAGTACAATTCCTGGCAAAACTTTTATTGCGGATGATATTTTACGCAACGAAGTTCCAATAAAACAACAGGATATATCACACCAATAGTCTGCCGGTCCACCTTTACGCAATATCACGTCGAAGAGTCGATTTGGCATACTCTCAACCAAGTTTTCAAGGATCCTCTTCTGTACATTATTCCACTCCATGAGAATTGCATTTTGTAGGCTATCCACAGAATCGTACTGCTTACCCTGGGCGTAGAGCTGCCGTACAAGGATGCCCCACAGATTCTCCACTGGGTTCAGGTCTGGAGAGCAAGCTGGCCATCCGAGCTCCACTTGGTGGGCTTCGAACCAGTCCATGGTTGATCTGCTGACGTGTATGGCAGCATTGTCCTGCTGGAAAATATGCCGATGATTGCGGTGGTGTTTTAGAAATGGCAGGAGCTGGTCCCTTAGCACTTCCTGGTAATCGGTGGAGTTCATTCGACATGTTGTGAAGACTATGTCCAGCTTTCCACACCAGCTGAAGGCGGCCCAGCACATCACACTTCCCCCACCAAAATTCCTTTTCGAAAAACTGATGGGTTCTTTGCGTAGATCTCTCCAGTATGAATGCCATCCGTCGGGCCGTCCAAGTTGAACTTCTTCTCGTCGGAAAAAATGATCTGGAACATTAACTACCAGGTAGATTGATCCATCATTAAGCAATGATAAAAGTAGAAAGTAGAACTACCATCTTCCAATCAGTCTGCATGTTCGTGCGAGCGAAACGAAGTCGTGCATCTTTGTGTCCTTGCGTGAGACGAGGAGCTTTCTTCATTTTTCCGCGAACGACGTGTGGTGGCTCACTGGTCACACCAATGATGAGTCTCAATCTGAGTAACAGTTCTTCTTTCATTTCGTTGGCCGTTATTGCTGTGTTAGAAGCCACTCTTAAGATTGAACGGCGATCACGGTCATTCAGCTTTTTTGGCCTTCCAGTCGACTTCTTCGCGTTGTATGCCAGAGGATCTCGCACATACCTTGCTATGCAGTCCCGGGAGCGGTTGAGCTTCTGGCTCATCTGGCGGATACTCCAGTGAAGATCGCGCATGACGTCTATTTGAGCTTGTTCGGACGTAGAAAGTCGAGTGCTTCGTGGCATTCTGCTCCAGTCATGAAGAGGTACGTGGGGTATCCTACTATATATAATCCGCTAAGTTTGTCTGTTGGTGTGTGTGGTGTGTGTGTGTCTGTATGTGTTTGACCGGAAATTCATAACTTTCTTCAAAATAGCGATAAAGCGCTCAAATTCATAAGTGATGTAGGGGGTCGGGCAGGAACATTATTGGTGGGTGGCAGGAAGTGATAAGAGCTGATAAGATACCATACCGGGGCTTAGAAGGGGAGGGTCACCAACTCCATAGCGCGGGCCACAGCAGCGATGGGGCGTTGGTTTCAAGAGGTAAGATAGGGTGCAGGATGGGAACATTATTGGTGGGTGACAGGCCATGATAACAGCTGATAAGATACCACAAGGGGGCTTAGAACGAGAGGGCCACCAACTTCATAGCGCTGTTCACAGCGATGGTAGAGCGTTGCTTCCAAGGAGTGATGTAGGGGGCAGGATAGGATCATTGTTGATGGGTGGCAGGAAGTGATAACAGCTGATAAGAAAGCATAAGGGGCTTCAGAAGAGGAGGGTCACCAACTTCATTGCGCGGACCACAGCGACGGTAGAACGTTCCAAGAAGTAGAATAGAGGGCAGGATGGGAACATTATCGGTGGGTGGCCGAAGTCATAACAGCTGATCGGCTGATAAGATACCATAGTTGGAGAGGAAGCCTTAAAAATTCATAACAGGAATTGTGGTAACACGGGATCTGCTTCTAGCACGTAACTCGTTTTACGAGACAAGTTGTGTGAACTAGATTTTGTAGCCCAGAATCAATGGGCAAAGCCGTGGTGAGTTAAGATGTTTTTATTCTTCAGCGATGTAGTTGGAACGACCGCTAAATCCACGATTTCGACAAAAAGTAATAGCTCAAATTGTTTGCCATTGAGGAATTATAAGAGCCAACAACAGACAGATATGTGAAAGCTGCTCAGTGGAAGTACTAGGACGTAATTTCACTAGGATTTTGATATTGTTACCATCGAATCTCTTTCAACCGCTAGGCTGTCCTATTTCCAACAAATGGTGGGTGTTCTCAGATTTTGATAAGCAGCCGACACTGGCAAATGTTCATTAAAAAAGAGAAATGCAATACAATCGGCCGTATTTCGAAACATGGGAATTAAGCCAAGTGTTAGTGGGCAACACAGTAATCCCGACAGTGACCAGTACCATGTTAACCATGCGCGCAGTAGTGCGCGACAGCCAAACTGGTATATGTACAATGTGAAACGGTAACATTTTGCACTGAAACTCAGAAAAAAGATAAAGTTTTCTTACGGGATCCAGCCATGTCGCATAGTTTTGCAACAGCCATTTTTTTTGTTTTTTAGCCCTTTATTCCTGTTGATCGACCATACTGAATGAAAGTTCGCTTCGAAAGGTTTCTTCACATGTTGAGTACAATGGTGATAGCCGTTTTTCCGCTGAATTGACACCAGCCTCAGAACTAAAAATTCAGGCTATGTCGCATAGTTTTGCAACGGAGTGTAGTCTTCGGAAAGAAAGCAGAGGTACTGCCAAAATTTGACTCTTCTCCTGCTGCAAATGAGTCCAGGCTTGATGAAATAATAGAATAAACGTACTCCTTGGATTCGGAGAAGATGCTTCAGAAAAAAACAAAAAATCGGACATGTCAAGGAATCGAACCCCTGACCTCACATTTACCTTACTTATTCGCTACACCATCAGCCGCTTATCAATACCTGTTCTTAAACTTAACTTGCGCTACACAATGGACGATCGGAGGATACTATACTAGAGCCCCCCCTAACTCCTCCATGAGGCTGTTCGGCAAATTCTGGAAGCAGATTTGAGTTCAGCGTCCCGAGACGTACACGTCGATATGCATCCCATCTTGAATGGCCATGGCGACCTGTTGACCTTCCATGGTCAGTTTTTCTGGAATCCCGTTACAGTTTTAATTCCATTTGGAAAGCCTAAAAACTACAACAACTGTTTTTACATAACTGGGTCATCCACACTAACACCTCATAAGCTACGCTCTCATTCTCTTTTCTCTCTCAGCATTTACGCTGCTACAGTCGCGCTGACTACTAACTCCTCCTCAACCCAGCTTTTTACAGCCAACCAAAAGAGACTCTATCATTGAGAATAGCCAGCCGGTAGATACTTGATGCTGGTCATAAGTTCACATAAATTTTCTGCGCAACACCGTAGAAAATTTGACCCTCGTCCGTTCTTACATTTGTTTTTGTTCTCTGAACAACTGGTACCGGAGGAGACATGGTCGTTTGAACATGAGAACTCGCATGTATGCTTCAATTATCACTCAACTCACTATATCCTATGAAAGCCACGAAAGATATTTCCCAAAGCGAGAAGACTCAGGGAAAGTTTGGTACAACTACAAAACAACGGACATCCGGTTAGTGTTCTACACTGTTGTTTTGTAGCTGTTTTGTTATGATAACTGCTGTTTAACGCCGCAGTACGCGTTCCGAATGTTATCACAAGAATGCTGAGTTATGGGCAAAAGTCCATAACTATAAATGCCGTTAAGCGAGAGTAAAAGCGGCCCTGGTGGCGTAACGGATAGCGCACTCGCCCGGAAAGCGTGAGGTGCGGGTTCGACTCCCGCCTGGGGCACGACTTTTGCCCACAACTCAGCATTCTTGTGATAACTTTGGTGTTTAACGAATACTCTACATTTGAAAATCCCACTGGATTGATTGGTTTGAAAAAGGGTGAATTTAAAGTGAAAATGGGATCATGTCAGTCCTAGTTGAAACGGGATGCTCCTAATCTCGACATCATTACCACTATCCTAATAACACTACAGACACTTTTTCGCTGAAACGTTGCCTATAGATGTAATTCGATGCGCTGATCACGAATATCACATCCGTTTCGAGCGCTGGCGTCATTTGGCGCCATTATGCGCCAATTTGGCGCCCACCACTTTTTTCACCAAAGTCGATGAAAACTTGCATATGGGGGTTAACCGACATCCTGATTACGAATATCACACTGGTTTTGAGCGCTGGCGCCATTTGGCGCCATTATGCGACATATGGCGCCAAATTAGCGCGTAATGGCGCCAAATGGCGCCAGCGCCAAAAATAAATGTTGTCAATAGTGCCGATGTTTCAAATCGGAAAGTATACTTTCTTTGACGCACATTCGGTTAGATTATCCTTCAAGAAGAGAAAAATTTCGTCTTTAGGATCCGGTAATAGAGAAGCCATACGTCCGCATTTGACGACAACACGGTTCCTAGCATACAAAGGCTTATTCCAGGAAACTCGCACTTTTGGATCGTCGAACTCCACTGTCAGTATGACACCTATAATAAGATAAATATCCCAGAAATTTGCTGTCACATCTTTCTCAACCTGGCCAGTATATAGATAGCCTCATCTACTAGTACATGTCAGTCACGGAATTCACGGTGCGCGTTACAGCAACGATGATATCTTGATTCCAGCAAGAGATGTAGAGGATAGGGAGAGAAAAAAAATACTAACTGATAAGTGGTGTGAGGAAGGGGCTTACATACTCCAGCTTTGGCAGCAATGTTGGGCTGTTCCGAATGTGACCGTTTCAAGTTTCGAGTCAAACGTGCTCGAGTCAAACTTGCTTCGATAAGAAGCAATGTCAGCTACAACTATATACCATTTTCACTTTAAATCGGACACTTTTCAAACCAAATCGGACACTTTTCAAACCAAATCGGACACTTTTCAAATCCAAATCGGACACTTTTCAAATCAAATCGGACACACCCCTTACAATAGGCAGTTGATAACTATACCACACTAGGTACTGCTGCAAGCCCCGCCCCAACACCCCGCCCACTTTTCAGCGCGGTCACGGTTTTCCAAAATGTTTTATGAAATCTGCTTCTTCGACTTTTTCTCACTTTTGCTAGTTGCACACACACTTCAACTGAAAAGGATTGGTACCGATACAGATCTGACTCCGCCCACTTCTCAATGAAGTACCGCAAGTTATGAGTTTTATAAATTTTTCGACGTCGTTCTTTTCACATTCAATTTTCACAAAACGAATATACTCGAAATGAAGTTC